ACACAGCGTTAAACCACTAGCAGCGTTAAAGAGAGCTTGCAATGCACAATAGCTCACTCGCAAGAAGCAACGGGTGACCCATATCGTAATGCTATAATTCACCTATAAGCAGAAGCAATAAATTCATAGTAAAAACTAAGGGCTACTAGTAAACTGAGGCAACAAATTTGCGAGGCCAGGCTATCACACTGAATTAATCAACTTGCTTGCAAGCGACATAAGGAAATCTCCTGATGTGCAATGCAACTCATTTGCAAGCTGAAATACAATCCGCATGTTGATTATTGAAAAAAATGACAGCGACATGGAGAAGATGAAGTGAGTTAAAACTATACTGATGATATGCAATAAGTAAAGTACAATGACACGCCGTCATATCTGAAGTAAAGTCCTTAGCAAGTATTCCACCTGCAAGTGGTAATAGTTGACATGTAATGTTCATGCCAATCATGCAAGTAAATACACCGACTCCTATAGGTAAGCATTAACAAGCAACAATCACCTATGAATGATGAACAATGAAATTAATGTGACTTATGGCATTCAACTCACCAATCAACAACTAGGAACGAATGACTCTTAAGTATGATAAATCTGCAATGTATACGAGCTCCCGCAAACTGCGGTAAGGATTTCTTTATGCAACACAAACTGACTTACAAGTTAAATGGGTGATGATAGAATTCTTGTAATGCATACAATGCCCCCATTTACAAGTAACAATGAAAGGAATATTAGTGAACATAATTGCTTACTAATCAACATGCATTAGGAGATTATTGGCATATATAGCTTAGCTGGGGTCAACATTAATTTATAAATGATTACAACAACTTGCATGCAGGTGTATGCGGGAGACTTGTAATGAACAAGATAATTTTTCTACAAGCGTGTATATGAACTTATGATACATAGAATAATCCATTTACAAGCAACTACAAGGACTTGTGGCGAACGTCAACAAGTACACTACGCCATCAATGAGTGATGATAGAGAAGGTGGCTGGCAAATACATTGGTCCCCTACAAGTAAGGAGGTCGATATGCAACAAATACAAGCACTTGCAAGCATCGTATGAAACCTCCCGCATGGTAGTATTTTCCGCAATTGCACTTGCAGATGCCGCTAAAAGACCTTCATCCAGTATAGCTGGCCCGTAGATAATGGCAACAGGCTTGTAATGCATACAACAATCTTGCCCGTAAAGTAATGGTGGAAGATTCACGCTAAAGATTATGCAACAGCTATTAGATCTTGAATACACGGCTTTAAACCACTAGCAGCGTTAAACAAAGCTTGCAATGCACAATAGCTCACTCGCAAGAAGCAACAGGTGACCCATATTGCAATGCTATAATTCACCTATAAGCAGAAGCAATAAATTCATAGTAAAAACTAAGGGCCACTAGTAAACTGAGGCAGCAAATTTGCGAGGCCAGGCTATCACACTGGATAAATCAACTTGCTTGCAAGCAACAGAAGGAAATCTCCTGATGTGCAATGCAACTCATTTGCAAGCTGAAATACAATCCCGCATGTTGATTATTGAAAAAAATGACAACGACGTAGAGAAGATGAAGTGAGTTAAAACTATACTGATGATACGCAATAAGTGAAGTACAATGACACGCCGTCATATCTGAAGTACTCATACGAGCGGACAGATGACATTTGCAAATACTAAAATGAAATCATGCACACTCGTAAACAATAATCACTCACATAGTTGACCATATCTGAACATTGCAAAAGCACCCCCTTATGCATCAAAATGCACGCGAGCACATTCACATAAATGTGTACCTTTGCAATGTATATGATGCGTCATTCAAATAAATCATTTAGTGAGTAAAATGCATAATGCATATATGTGCTATAATATGTATAATGCACTATGCATATACAAGTGTACAACATAAGTTTATCATGACTTCATGTGGTTAGGGATGAGCATACATATTACATGCCTAACAATGGCATAAAGCCTACAGGATATTTTTTCAATTTCTATAACAAAGTAATTCACTAACAATGACATAAAGCCTACAACAAATCCGATCCTTTGTCGGCAAGTAAACATAGTTGACAAGATTCTACCAACAAAATAAAATTGCCCATAAAAAATCTTGATGATGGTCGTGTGGACAGAAAATCTCTACTAGAGAGGATCATAAACATAAAAATGCCTCTCAAATTTTCATAAAAATTCAAAATTAAAAAATCATAAAAAATCTAAGATATTTAAAATTGAATAAAGCACCTATGCACTCAAAGTAAAATTTATCTACTCTTCATAACAATTTGCTGAGGTGGACAAATCTGAAAGTGACTTCAGCTCACAAAGAGCTAATATCTAGTTGAGAATATTACTAGGATTCATTCTCAACCCGTCTCTTGCTAGTAAGGACGTGACACATGTCCTCTAACCGATAGTTTTGCCGCCAAATGGTACCATATCGATGGTTTCGCCACAAAATGACACCGCAAGTAACGGTTATGACTAGGACCCTCTAACCGGGTAATTTTGTCACCAAATGAAACCATTAAATTACGGTCATGGTCAGAGTCCGTATGCTCCCCAATGATTTCAAATCCTTGTGCTAGGTGATAAATTTCTAATTTTAAATATTAAATTTTCAAATACCATGCTACTACTTTATACCTGATACTCCATGTCTTTTTGATGACTAGCCTTAATCGAACGTTCTCTCTCATTATTAATGAGAAGAGTAATTAACTATAGGAGGAAACCTGAACTCAGCGGTTACAGCTCCGTACGAGGTAATATCTCAAGGCACTATGCCTTTTTTGAGTGTCTCAGATAGTTTTTTTTGTTGTTACCAAGCTCTAAACTCCATAACCCTTCTCTTGGCTCATTCGCCTCGACAGGCCAAAGAAAGGCCGATACCCATTAGGAAACCATTAGATTTTCCTTGAAGGTAAACTTTCCTACTTAGGATGTTATAAAATGTTTTTTTTCCCGGCATATCCCTAGTCATCCTCGGCGGCACTCTTGTCAACTTATGTATGTTGGGTCGTCCTTCAAGTCTCTGCATCTGATAACTCTGCCTGTTGTTTTACCTTATAAGTTAAACCCTGTAAGGCAAGTCCTTTATCTTAGAGATCTAATCTCTCTCTGTCCCCATCAGATGTCACACTTATGTTAAATAGTTGTACAACAAACTCCCTGTCTTCGACTTGTAGCATCCCGTTGCCCCACACGCATGCTTGCTACATGCAGTTTGTGCCCACATTCACTCCCAACTCTATTTCGGGATCACTTTGCATGTGCATTTAAACTCGACAACAGATGAACCATTAACTCTCTAATTGTAGGCTTCAAACCAGCATGTCTCCCGTCGACTCAAAATTATTAACTCTCTATGACCATCCAAAAGAGCCATCATGCATTAGCTCACATTGGCTGGGTCCATCAGCCTGATATTGTGTGGATCCATTTGCACCCTATTGATGAGTCCCCTGGTCTAAGTTTTCGGCTATCTGTGGCTTAATTCAAGTTAGCTAACCGTCCACTTGTGTGTCAATTTCCTTGTAGCTTTTAGAATTTGCATTGTACTGTACTCATCGCTATCTTGCAATGATTTGATTCAGATGATTCAATGTACATTATTTATATTGGTTGTAATAACATGTGAATTTGTTTTTTTATGTTTGTATTTCCTATTTTTTTGCTTTCATTGATTTAGTTACGCTTTTCCTGCATTTACTTCGTTATTATTGCTTTTGTTCATTTTGAGACTATTCCATCTGACCTCTTCCTGAGGCCAATGTTGACCAATTTCCACTGGTAGTCTCCTCGGTATGACATAACCCTACGATGAATCCTAAAGACATGAACAAATATTTTTAATCGAAAGTATAGCTAGAACACTGTGCTCATGTAATTAATCAATGGGTCTTTCGTCTGAATCAAAATAAATATCTAGATCATTTCTCTTCACAATCTTATCATTTTTATTCTCCACTTTTCGCTACCACTTTTAATTTAGCATTTCAGAATTTTATCCTTTAATATATAATATGATGTAACATTTAAATAAAAAAGTTATTAAATATAATATTGATAATGTGCACTTAGGACAAATTTGTACTCGTTTTATAATAGCTCCACGTGTTAGAAAAATTTTAGCTAGTCTATACAGTCAGTCATTTCCAAATAACTCAAATATAACTCTTAATTATGCAATTTACAATTATAAAAGCTTTCGAGACATAATATAATATAACATTGAAATTAAAATAAAATTTAATCTTTAAATAAAACATTGATCTCATGTACTTACAGTACGTATACTTTTACTGGTTATATAAATGATTGACATAAAAGAGTTATGCTATCTCTGCATAGTTTTATTAGAAGGTTGAAATGTTGTTTCAAGTGAGGATAAATGATCATAAAAAATTTGAGTTAGTTTGTGATAGCTGATTGATGAATCTATGACGTTGTATTGGTGTGAATAACAAAGCTGTATTGACCTAACGAATATAGATGAAAATAACAACTATGTGAAGCATTTTGCATGACTTTCATCTGTAGCATAAAGTAAAAAGAGTTTTTTTTCATTGTTTTTTTTACTATATATATTATGTATATTGCGATATATTTTAATTCTTTTACAGCTGTAGTATAAGTGAAAAAGGAGGGTTAATTTCATAGTTTTTGGGCTGTATAAAATTTGTATATACCTTGATTTGAATTAAAGCATTTTCTCTCCTTTACAATAAATACTAAAAAAGGCAAGGCTTTTATTGATTGATTCCTTAGGATGTTTTTGGTGCAAATTATCTTTGCTGATCTACTTATTGAGATTAATATTCTGAAATTCATGAACCATATTGTGGCTGAGTTACAGCCGTGTTCTTCTGCTAAGTATTTTGCTATTATTTCTTCTAGAGGGTAGGATCGCTTGTTCTATATTAAGTCTTGATTAAGTCTTGTTTTTTCATTTTATCTGATTTTCCTGATTAATTTTTTCAGATTATCAGGGTCTCACGAAGAATTTTTGCCATGGGAAGGTTTATTGCTCTAAAATCACAGCACATCTTGTAAATTTGAAAATTGGTGTTCCATGGGATAGAATTCAAATTTTACCTATAAATGAAAAAATTACCATTGCTGGTGTAAATTTGACCTGTTTGGATGCTAATCACTGCCCGGGGTCGATAATTATTCTTTTTGAACCATCCAATAACAAGGCATGCTTCCTTCTTGTAGAGTAGGTTGCAATTGTGATTTTCATTGTTTTATCTAACAATTTGTTATGATATTTCCTTGGTCAGGCAATCCTGCACACTGGGGATTTTAGGTTTTCTTCAGAGATGGCAAGCTCTACTGTTTTGCAATCATCCCATATCCATACTCTTATTCTGGACACGACTTACTGCAATCCCCAAGTATGTTATTGGGATTGATAGTTTTTCTTTTTCAAACTTCATTTTTTTTCATGCATATAACTGCTTTTAGTTTATCTTCTTCCAACTTTTTTTCATGTTTATAACTGACTGTTGATTTATGCAGTACGACTTTCCAAAACAAGAGGAAGTAATTCAATTTGTTATTGATGCCATCCAAGCTGAAGCTTTCAACCCAAAAACGCTCTTCCTTATTGGCACGTATACGATTGGTAAATCTATTTAACTTGTAGGCATTTGTTCTCAAATACAACGAAACTACAGTTTGCATGCCATAAAGGAATTTAATTTTTCACATACTCCTGCATCCCTAAGGGTTTGTTTGGTTGTTTTTCTGTACTTATTAGTTATTAATAGAAAACTGATACCCTTAGCAAACTGATACGCTAAGGGGGCCCACCTTGTGGGGCCTAGGGGACTATTATTCATTATATATGGAGGAGGAATCGAGAGGAGCTGTTTAGGAAGGTTCATAATCAAGAGGGAGTTGTTTAGGAAGGTTATTAATCAAGGAATGTTATTTAGGAAGGTTCTTAATCAAGGCGGGAGTTGTTTAGGAAAGTTTTCTAATTGTGTTTATGCTTATTAGAAAGTGTTTAATTATTTAGAAAGGTTTCTTAAAATATGTTTAATTGTTTAGGAAGGTTTACTAAATTATGTTTAATTGTTTATAAATATTTTCTAAATTATGTTTAAGAAGGTCTCCTAAATTATATTTATGTTGATTAGGTAAGTTCTATTTATTTAAAAAGGTTTCCTAAATTATGTTTATACTGATTGAAGGTTCTAATTATGTTATTGTATTCTAGGGCTATTTAAGGGTGAGTTTGTGATGGGGACATTAGATCATGGAAGATTTATCAGAGACGTGGCTGCTGATCTACGGCCACTATTGAGTCGTTGTATTTTTGATTTATTTTATGTATTTTCTTATATATGATGTCGTTATATTTGTTTTATTTAGTTTCCCGTTGTACCCTTTTATTAAGGGATGTCGTATGTAAACCCTGAGAGCATTGTCATCTTTTCTATTTTGAGTCTTATGCATGATGCTATTTATAGCCCCTATGTTTCTCTTTGAGAGGTAATGAACGATTAAGTGAAAATTTTGTTTCTTTTGTTTGACTTCTCATGAGGGCTTGAGAGTTTGGAGTGAAATCCCTAGGAGAGAGGGATGTGCGCTATACTCACCAACCTAGATAAGTCGGGTTCGTGGTTTCATCCTCTATCTCTTTCTCTCTTCCTCCCCCTACCACCACCGGCCGTGCCATCTTCCCCTCCACTTAGCCACCGGCCTTCCCCATACCCGTCTCCCACTCAACCCACGGCCCATCCATCCCACCCGCTGGCTCCCCATCTCACCCATTTCCTCCTCTTCCCCCCATGCCTCATTTCCTAATTTAGATTGAATCAAAATTGGATATATTTTTAATTCAAATTCAATTGATTTGAAATTCAAAATCTTTCTTAATTTACTAAATCTATTTTTGGAAAGTTTCTTAATTAACTCCTGTTTGAATTTTAAATGAGAAAGAATTTAATTTAATCTTTCCTATTTCTTAATTTTAAATTAGGAAGCCTCTTTTAATTCCCCAAATCGCCCCCTCGGATTTCTTTGGAATTCTTTCCATATTGCAAGTTTCCCTCTTTGAAAGAATTCAAAACCCTTCACTGCTATTGGCCGAATTTCCCCTCAATCCTCCACCACTTTATTCTTTCCAAAACTTCTTATTCTAATTTGGAATTGAGCTCCTCTCCTTCTTCCCTTGCTGGCCGAAATTTCCCAATACCCATACACTTTCCTCCACTAAATCCTTCCCAAACTCAACCCAACGTTGAGTCTTCTACCTCAGACTGCAGCCAGAGAATTCCAGCCACTATTCTTGCATCCCAGCAACTGAAAAGCCTTAAAACTGCTGTTTTAGAAGACCAACCCGCTGTCCACCTATTTCCCTCAACCTGAATTGCGATACCATTGTCGGAGAAGACTTCCCTTGTTGTTTAGTACTTCCCCAACTAAAAAACAGCAAAGTCTTCCATGGATGGCTGACCCAGAAACGGAAGGCGGCCTCTGTTACGATGAGCAAGGGTTTGTGTGCATCTTGCAGTCAAACTTCTTCGACGTCAACCCGAGGATCGATTATACGGTTGAGGACTACATAGAGCGCATCTTGGACACCTTGGTTGAATCAATTGAAGAACAACTTGAGATCGTCGAGTGGAGGATTGCCGCCGACCCTTGACGGAGGTTTTCTACTATTCCTTTTCTCGTATTTCTTATGTCTAACCCTTTCTTGTGATTGATTGTAGTCACGAAGGACGTGTTCGCTCGGTTCTGCTAAGCTTAGTAAACATTGGAATTTGAGTGCATGCATTTGTTTACTAATCTTATTGTTAGACTAGGTATTTTGTTGAAAACTACTACTTGGGCATAATGTTATTTTCTACGTTGTTTTGAGGATTCAAATCTTTTGGATGTGCAACCTAGCCTAAACGAAAGTGACCGCGCTTATATTTTGATTTGTTGTTTTATTTGCTAATAAATTTCTTTGTTATTTCTCTAATCAAGAATTTGTGCAAGTTCTTAGTAAAATCATTTGCAATCATCGTAGTCCTACATCAGTTTGTGTATGGTTTAGGGAGGGATTGTCATAACCCAACCCGACCAGGACATATCCTATCATGTTGAGCTGTGACAGGCAAAACCCCAAAATCTAGTTTTGAAATTATTTCAATTTTTTGCCAATATTCATTGAAATAAATGACAAATTACAGAGCTACTAAAATATCAAAATACTAAAAAACTCATCCATAAAGTTTCTTTCATTCATCAAAATAAATATCTACTGTACATGGCTACAAGCAAGAGCTACATAACTAAAAATTAAACTAGCAATGCTTGTACAAAAATCAAAATAACAAAATACCTATAACCTCAGATCTGATCCTGAATTGCTAGTCCACAACATCTTTTCCCTTCCTAGAGTAAAACCACAGTGAGCTGCAACAGCTCAGCAAATCACACAAACTAATCTAAATTTTCAAATATTCTTTTATTTCAAATATTCTACTGAATATTTAAAAATAGTTAAATGCAATTTAAATAAATCACTAAATTGATAATCACAAAACTGGGAATGTAATAAATGCATAACAGTTATTCTATGATTTAAATAACAGTACAGAACAAATAAATAAATGGAAATTCATTTCACAGAGTAGTTCATATCACATTTGTCAGATTCAGACAGAATCTCAAAGGATCCTGGCCCATTATGACTCCTCTTTTTATTTTTGCTTTTAGCACTAGAACATATCAAATATCTCTGTCTCAAACATAATCTCAAAGGATTCTGATCCCTTATAATTCCTAGAAATTCCCTGACACAGATAGAATTTCAAAGGATTCTGGCCCCATTATGGCTCACAACAGATATAATTTAATCACATATGCACATATATTATCACATTATAACAATTAAAGAGTAATTGAACATGTATCAAAATGCCACAATATTGTATAATGGTAGACAATAGAAAATCCAATTAGTCAAAATGCACATTTTCAGAAAATTATCAAATTATCAGGGATTGTGTGAAACAATGTTTTAAGACTTTATTGTACCACCACAGTATTTTTCGACATTTTGATAATTTTCTATTAAATAAAAATCCCGCAAATTTCAAAACCCTTGGTGAAAATTTTCCAGAAAAAATATTCAAAATGTGCATAATCGTAATCTCTACAACATTCAAAAAGTTACGCGGTAAAAGTTTTACGGTGCAAAGTTATCCCCGTTTTTGCTAACAGACACAAAAGTTTAATCGAAATATTCTCCAAAACTTGCACATTTTGATTTGGGAGAGATCGATCCTCCTCTCGAATTGAGGATCAAGTGTATCTTTGCTGTTTTCCTTGATTTTCTAGTGAAATACAAGCATATTATTGTGTTTTTCTTCCCGTTTCCCTATTTTCTGCTGAATTCCTGCTGTTTGGCTGCTGTGGACAGCAGTTTACTGCTGAAATTTTACTGATTTGGGTTAGGAATACTTGCGAACACAAGTGTTTCCTATCATATTCTTATGAAATCGGTTTGCAAAACGGACAACTAACGGTCCCTAAACCCCCACTTATACCCACATGTGTCGATTTTTTAAGAAATTTCGACAGTGCACAAAAATTATGAAAAAATTAGGGAAGCTATAACACAACCTTATAAATGTTCTGGCGAAGACGGTTTGTGATTTGGACTTCTCTAGGTCAACAAAAAAAAATCTTGAAAATTTAAACCAAATGTAATTGAAGATATTTCCTCTTATTGTTTCATCCATCTATTCCCATAATTCATTGGCCTTTACTTAAAGTATGCAATGTCTTGGACTCCAATAATAACATCTTGAAATTTATATGACACTGGCCAATTTGCACATGCCCTTGGTGCACATATTTATAATGTTAAGCCAATATTATGTTCTATTTATAAACTAATGACAGTACATTTTTGCATTGGGGTATGTTCAAATCTCTACAATAATATTTCTTTTCAAGCTTGAGAATGTATATGATGCAGGTTCAACTTACTGTAAAGATAGGAGAAATAAAGAAGTTCCAAAGCTTTTATGAAATTACATTCCATATATTCTTTTTTTGGAGAAAAGAAATGATAATTTTCCTTGATGGAATTGCATCTTTGATAAAGTGATAATTAACTTCATTATGTTTTATTTTTTTGTGAATAGATTAGTTGTTAGGACTGTAGATTGTTGCCTGATTATCATATTTAAGTATCATATCTGAGAGTCGTTTAAGTAGCACGAAAGCTAAATTTTATAAGATATTTGATCCACCTCCATTATGACTTTTTTGTCCCGTAGTGAGGGAAGTCTCTTCGTGCTTAGATGTGGCCGTAAGTTTAGTGATTTGAAGAACGTCTGAAAGAGCTGTGAGGTATTTACAATAATATAATCAGCCATTTATTGACTTGCGAGATGGATGAAGACCAAAGAGAAATTTGGCAATATAAATTCCTCAATTTGTGATTAGTGATAAATGGGTTGAGTATTTTTGTAGTTTTGAACAAATGTGTGACCCTTTTATAAAGAGAAGATGGTAGAGTGACGAGATTTTATTTGACATGTTACCTTTAAAGTACGTGAAAGTAAATTCCCTACATAGCGCTGTGAACCTTCATAAGATAATCATATAGGTGCTTTCCAGTTTGCTAGAAATCGATGACTAGTGAAGAGATTATTCTCAATTTTGAGAATGTATTACATACTAATGAAAAAGTATTTAATAATTACTGCCTTATATTCTTGTAAAATCTCTATGATAACCAAAAATAGCAGGAATACAGAGTGCTACTTTCCTAGCTTGCAATTAAGCGACCTTCTTAAAAGAGACCTTAATTTTCAGCTGGTCATACCTGTGCTACGTAACTACTTGCTCGCCTTAAGGCGATGATTTTCAAATAATGTTGTTTTCCTCTTTTCTTGGCACTTCACTTATTGATCATAGGAAAAGAGAGGCTATTCCTTGAGGTTGCAAGAACACTCAGAAGGAAATTATATGTTGGGGCTGGGAAGTTGCATTTACTTCGGTGTTTGGGTTTACCTGAGGAGGACATGCAGTTGTTTACAGCAAATGAGATGGAAAGCCACATACATGTTGTACCATTGTGGACCATAGCAAGCTTTAAACGAATGAAACACATATCTAACCAGTACTCGGTAAGGCATATAATTAATCTAGGAATAGTTGTTCTTATATTTCTACAATTGGAATTTGGAAGCACGGCGTAAGCGTTGAAGTTTTCTTATCTCATATTCCTGTTGCTTTATTAGGATCGCTACAATCTTATAGTTGCTTTCTCTCCCACTGGTTGGACATCGGGAAAAGGAAAGAAAAAGACACCTGGGAGAAGGTGGCAACAGGGTACCATCATCAGGTACTTTATTTTTAATTGTCTTTCATGCATAATATTTCCATAATGCCGGTGCTGAAGTAGTCTTTTTTCTTGTTTCTAGTCTTATTGAGCGAGTATTTGTTGCCATATGCGCTAATTAATCTTTCCAAAACATTGAACATTGTATTAACTTTGTATTTAACTAATTTTTTTTGTGGTTGGAATGGCTATAAAATTCTTCTACAGTTGCAATTTTGTGCTTGCAATCTTTTAGTTGAAAATGACAAAATAGAGAGCCAAACCTAAGACCCAAAATATAGAAACTAAAGACTCACGTCTGACATTGTACGTCATTTTTTATGTTGTGCTGTGTAGTATGTTGTTGTAAAGTGGATGAATACTGGTGAAAGCTTGTGAAGATTGTTGTCTAAAATATTTGAGAATTGTTGTTGTTCGATAAAAAGCTGTTATAACACTATGAATTGATTGATTGGTCAAAATGAATACTACTATGACTTCATGAAATTATAAAAAAATATTATAATCTTAGTTGATATAATTAATTAATCTTCTAAGAACCAAAAATTCAACAAAACGCTTTCTTAAGAAGCTATCTAAAGCACCCTTCTTGGAGAGCTGATTTCATTTATTTCAACTAGTCTTTTCCTAATGATTGTTTTTTCCAAACACCCTAAAAATGGTTCAACTGTCCAAGGTAGCTGAAGCATACAAGGGAAAGCTATATACCGAACAATGCTTAAAATATTAATTTTCATAATTTTATGCAAAGGAGATTGGTTGTGGTATTGATTTATTTTGTTTTTATTGCCCATCTATTTCACCATCACTATGAACAGTAGATCCAAGATATCTAAAACATATACTCTTATGGTGTCGAATGTTGGCCATTAAAAGAGAAGCATAATACTAAGTTAAGTGTTGCAGAGATGAGGACGCTCACGTGGATGAGCGCGGCTTTACCCTTAGAGATAGGATACGAAATGAGCATATACATGAAAATTTTGGAGTAGTGCTAGTGGAAGATAATATTAGAGAGAGTCGCCTTAGATGGTTTGGTCACATAAAACGGCGGCCTTCCGATGACCTGATTAGGAAAGTATATATATTAGATTTGACTTATGTTAAGAAAGGTAGAGGTAGACCTAAAAAGACTTGGTTAGAAAATATTAGAAATGATCTTTCTTTATTAATTTTAAACGAGAATTTGACTTTTAACATGACACAATGGAGAAAAAAAATTCATGTAGCCGACCCCGCATAATGGGATAAAGGCTTGTTATTATTGTTGTTGTTGCTGTTGCTAAATTTAGCTTTAGTGGCGATCGTGCATAATTATTAAATGGCGTGAACATTCAATGGATTATTTACATAATCACCCGTTCTCTTATTTTACAAGATTTTTGGTGTCACTTGAGCTGTGTGGTAGGAATCCGATCTCCACAGCAAAAGCATAAATAACAAAGAGAAAATGTTGCAGAAATTAGCGAGAAAGAATGCGATATCGACACAAAAAACCAAGATATAAGTTGGTCTAGTATTCGAGAGGGTGATCAAGTCTCCACAAATCTTAGGTGGCGCTAAGAACAACTCCAAAGAAAATTATAGCAAACATAATTCACATGGTGAAAATAAAACAGCATAATTAATCATAAATAAACATTTCTAATTTTCTCGCAAATTTGAATATAAATCAACCTTCTTTCCCTAATTAAAACTTCCTAACTCCCTCTCTAATCTGAATTCAAAACTACCATCTTTCTCTAAATAAACCTACCTAATTCCCTCCCAATTTTGATTTTCTATGGTAAGTATTAAAGATAGAATTAATCCCCTTTGATCTCTCCTCTCTCCTTGCCCGTTTCCCACACTATTGTGGCCCACAGGCTTAACTAGTCCATCAATACACCCCTCGCAAAGTGCCACCTTGTCTTCAAGGTGGAGCGTAGGAAATTGATATTGAATCATCCGATATGGTTCTCATGTCGCTTTATAGTTGGCCAAGTCTTTCCACTCGATTAGCACTTTTCTAGCTAGTCTTGCTGTTGAGCGAACTCCTTTCACTTCACTTGGCTCCAGGATCACCTCCATTTCTTCTACAAGGTCATCAGCATCATCGCTGATGGACTGTGATCGCAAATAATGTTTCTCAGCTATGACACATGAAACACTGGGTGTATGGTGGAAGTAGGGGGTAGCTGTAAACAATACACTACAATGCCAATCCTCTCCACAAACTCATAAGGAAAATAGTACCGTTGAGATAACTTTTTATTTTTTCTTCGAGCTAAAGTCTTATATCTATAGGGTTTAATCTTTAAATACACTTTATCACCCACCTCGAACTGCACATATCTTCTATGCTCGTTAGCTAATGGAAGAAAGTTTTTAGTGAAACCATACACACACACAAAAAGTTTTTAGTGAAACCATAGTTTTGGACATGCTAGGATCTCCTCTAAGAACCACTTTCCTCTCCTCAACCTTGAACTCCATCTTTAGAGCCTTCCAATCAATCTTAGTCTTCCCCAACTTCTGCAGCCACTTCATCCCCAATATCACATATGTGCTTCCCAAAGCTAATGGCAGAAAGTCTTTCAATATCTGAACCTTCGAATGGATTAGGATCACCCCTTTGCAAATTCCTCAAATCTATACTTTTCTCATTCCCAGCATACTCCCCCAGCCAAATTTCCACTAATGTCACTCCCAACTGATCCACCATCATGTTGGAAAATGTAGTTGTGGGTCGCTCCATTATCCACCGGTACTACCACCCTCCTGATGCCTGATTTTTCTCTTAACCTTCTTGGTGTGGTTCGGTGTGAACCCGACCACTGAGTTAAATGATACCTCTGCAACATCTTCCTCTTTTGAAGCATCTTCTTCCTCATCGCAGACTCTTAGAACTTGTAATGAACGGTCCTTACAAAGGTGGCCTGGAAGGCTGGAACGAACTTCTCATCACACCTAAAGCATAACCCTTGGCCTTCTTCTTTGAATTTCTAACTTAGTCAATCTCTTGAAGTTCCCTCTGGTTGTACTTCCTAACCTCTATCACTTGGGGCTTCCTTCTGAATAGGCATTATATGCACCTTTGGTGCCAGAAATGTAGTGGTTGTGTGGTAGGATACTCCCGAACTGCTACTATGGATACTGTCCAAGGAGTTCTTATCCTCTACCAGTTGGGCTAACTCCATAATATCTCATAAGCCATGTAGTCTCAGTACTCAAAATAGTTTCTCGAATATGAGGCTTGAGCTCCTTAATAAAGTTTCCCTTTAGCATTCTTCTAACAACCTTCCCAATCGGCTCGAGAAATACTCAAACTTCTCTTGGTACTCTATCACCGTCCCCTTCTGCACCAGAGCAAAGAACTATTTATAGAAGTCTCATTCCCGCCCGGTTCGAAAATATTCTAGTAAACAGTCTTTGAACTCCCTCTATGATTAGATCATATCTGATAAGTCTCTCCACTTGCACCAGGACAAATCCTTACATTCCAGACATAGAGCGATTGTTGGGATTTTTTCATCTTTTGTCAATTCATTTACAGCCAAATATCGCTCCACCTTATAAATCCATCCGTGAGCATCTTCTCCATAAAAAAATCGGCATCTTCAACTTTCTCACCCTAGGATCGATCGCCCTTGCCCCAATTTCTTCTTGCTCCTCCAATGTAGCGGGACTTGTGATATCTCCATGTTTCCCTCTCCCCTGAATCAACTGTCCAATCTTCATCACTCAAATTTCTTTGTTGGCCATACCTTTCATCAGTTCCCCTCGGAATTTACTCGAAAGGTGGCATCTCCTCTTCTTCCCCCAAAATTTTTACCTTCGATCCTCCCTCATCCTTCCTATATTAGGGTTTCTCCCACGTCCTTGTCTAGTCAACGATGCTCTTGCCTCTGATGATGCTGTTTTGGCTTGAAACTCTTAACATCATTTTTATCATTTCTTCTAGATTCAAAAATCTACCCTCAATTGCTAAAATTCGCTCTCCGAATTTAGATTTAAGATTTTCAACTTCTCCATCAAGCCTCTCCTCGAACACATCAACCTTCTTAGCTTCTATAGGTCTCAAAAAAGGTGCTATGATATCAATTTGGCACGAATCTGATCTCTATACAGCAAAAAACAGCAATAACAAAAAGAAAACACACCAGAAATCAACGAGAATGAATGAGATATTGATCCTACAAACTAAGATACAAGTTGATCTACCATTTGAGAGGTAGATCGGCTCTCCACAAACCCTATGTGCCACTAGGAATAACTCTGAAAAAAACTATAGGAAAACTAAATTAACATGATGAGAATAAAGCAACCTTTGACCCTAAATAAACCTTTCAAATTCCCACACAAATTTGAAATTAAATCAACCATCTTTCCCTAAATAAACCTTCCTAATTCTCTACCAAATCTTAATTCAAATCATCCCTCTTTCCCTAAATAAACCTTCCTAATTTTCTCCCAATTTTAGTGACCGCCTCGATTTGCGTGCACAACCCCCATTGAACAAATTGGTAGTGCGTTTAGGGTGATTTTGGTGTTCCGAACACAATGATGTAGTCCGTTCGTCAATCCAACATCATTTGATCAGCCCCGCATTTTTAATTTCGGGTGTTGGTCGTCCCTTTTGACTGATCTCTTCCGATTCGATTGCAAGGGGCCTCGACCTAGCAGAATTCGATGTCTTGATCGCAACGACGATGTTCATTTTACAATCGGAGATCATTTGACCCTTCAAGTGATGCGTCGTATCAACCTGTGCGTTGCTCGATCCGCCACCTTTGTCTTTTTTTGCACATAGTTTAAGTTATAGGGGTCAACATCCTTGTTGCTATTAGATATGTCAATGCTTTCAAAACATGCTTTAAACTTGTTTTTTAATACGAAATAAGGACTTTTATTTCTTTCCCTATTAGTCTTAATACATTTTAGGCAAGTATTATGAGTTTCCACTCCAAGATAATGGGCTTGGTCTTGTATTAAGGGTTACTCAAAGAGGAATGCATAATTGAAATTTCAGGTGGCCTCCTCTTTGAGATTCTTCCCCTTGTGGGGTTTCTATTTATCGTTTAGTTGCCACCCCTATTCACTCTTCTCTCGAGGCATTAATTCATTTAACCTTTTTACTCATTTTTTTTTTCTGTACCTTCATTATCTTTCCTCATTTACCAGATGATACAAATTCTCTTTGTGTTGCTTGTCATCTATTGGTTTTAGACCTCACGCAATTCCACAATTGCTCTTTTCTCTCGCCAATCCCATTGCATTGTGCTTATGCTCATTGTATGATGCACTTATCGTCTACAGTTGATCTCATTCTTAGCTTCTCTATTTCTCATGACCTCTCAAGCTCGCTTAGATCTCTTCAGCTCTTCATGTTCGTTTTCTCTGCACATGTCGCCCACATGAAACACTCGCTTACTCACTTAACTGCACTTGTGTACATTGTAACCACTGCCTTTAGAAGCACATGCACTTTATTTGTGCATTGCATAAACATATTTTTGCTCATGACCTTTTTAGTTCTTTGATTAACTCAATCTACTTTGATTGGATCAAATCCAACCCATGTGGTTCACTCAACTATGGACCTAAATTAAAAAGAAAAGAAATAAAAGATCAACTTAAGTCGGTTAGTATTTCAATTAGCCCGAGTCAATTTTGTGCATGGAAATCTTAAAGAGCTATATGTTTTTGTAGACTCTAGAGTGTTGATAGTATTTTGAGAATCTATGATGGCTTCTACTATTTTTTGATGATTTTGAAGTTCTTTTTCTTTGTCTCTTCCCTCACAAGATGGATTTCCCATTCACCACATCTACTTTTGGATGAATCTCCCATTCATATATTTTTCGGGATTGATTTTGTTAGTTTCACAGTACAATTGAATACCTCATGTTCTCCCTATATCCCTAATTTAAGTTTAGTTTCAACTCTTCAAAGTGGAGCTCTTTGTAACTTCGGATAATTGATGCTGCATTATGGTTTGTCAATATTTGCTTCCATAATCTCTTTTAAGCATGTGAACTGTATGAAGTAATGAAAAATAATTTTTCTCTACATTGGTCTTAATATATTTTAGCCAATTGTTACAAGTTTTGAGTTTATATGAGTGGCTATGGTCTGATATTAAGGATTTGTATATGATGAATTTTGAATTGAAATTCCAACTGACCTCCCCTTAAAGGATTCTCCTCTTCTAGGTTGGTGTGTTTTCTTGTTTCATCTTTATTGTTTGTCTCCCTCCTTTTGAGACATTCATTTGTCTAATTTATTTACCCTTTTTAATCTACCTCGTTGGTTCTCCTCCAATATCAAATTCTTCTAATTCTCCTTGCATAGATCCATATGGATTATTTATTTATTTATTTTATTCAATTATGTAATTTTCATATATATATATAATGACACTTAATTATATGATATTAAGGGTTCTTATATGATGAATTTAGAAGTGAAATTACAAGTGACCCCCATTTTAAGTATTCTTCCCTCTAGCTTGGTTTTATTTATCTCCCTTCTTTTGAGACATTCATTTGTCTAATCTATTTTCTTTTTTTACTCTACCTAATCGGTTCTCCTCTTATATCAAATTCTTCTAATTATCCTTGCATGGATCAGTATCGACTGATTATTTAGTTATCTTATTAAACTACGTAATTTTCTTATGAATCATTTTTTATACATAATATGACTTTTTAAATGTGATGACGCCATTAATTGACGCATGTAGCTAACAAAAGTATCAATCAAGGCCCATCTTCTTCATTTTGAATTCTTTTTTGCTCTTATTGAGTGATGGGATACTCTGGCAGTTATCTTGATACATGTTTTTGTATAAAATGGCTTAGATCACTTTGTTCTTTTAGTTCTGCTTCATTGATATGGTTTTTCAAAGTGGTCTTCTGCTTCATTGAGATGGCAAGTCAACAGTTATCTCACAAATGATGGGTGAAAATTTATTGAATGATGTAGATTGCATTATATTATATTTTTCCATGTAAAGAGCCCTTAAAAATTTCATCATCTGGAAGCTTGGTGCGTGCTTCTTACATCTGAACAAAAAACCAATTTAATTATGTATCTGAGAATTCTTTGCTACGATTCTTCAGGTATGAAGTCCCATACAGCGAGCACTGCAGCTTTACAGAGCTAAAAGATTTTGTTCGATTTATATCGCCTGAGAATATAATCCCGAGCGTGAACAATGAGGGCCCTGAGTCTGTCGATGCTATGTTAGCTCTCCTCTTGTCTGGTTCATAGCATCCTGTCTCGGACATTTTACCTTCTCAGGCTAAAAGCTGCCCTTTGCCTCAAAGAACAAAGAAGCGTGAGTTTCCCTGTTAATTTAAAAAGCATAGAATGCAGGGTGTTCTCTTGTTCTTCAAATATCAATTCTGTGTTTCAAAGGAACCTTAATAAGAGAACTAAAGCTTTGCTTGGGATGGCTTTCTTATTACTTATGAAATAGTTTTTTAGTAAAAAATTAAAAGTTTAATACTAAAAAATTATTTTAAGAAATAATAAGAAAGTTATCTCAAACAAAATCTTGATCATGATTGATGACTGAGGCTTCGTTTGGGATGATTTTCTTTCTGTTTCTTAAAGCAATTTTTAAGTACAAAAATTAAATTTTTTGTATTTAAAAGCAGATTTAAAAAGCAATAAGAAAGCTATCCCAAGGCTTTGTTTGGGACAACTTTCTTATTGTTATTTTAAGCCGTAAGAAAGTTGTTACAAATAAAGTCTAAATAATATTAATGGATTAAATCTCTAGACTAATTTTGGATACAGAGCCCTAAATAGTGTGGTGTGGGTGGGGAGTTATTATGCCTACCGGGGAAATGGGGCTAAATTGATAGTCAAATACTTTAAATTTTGTTCAGATAGTTTGGTGAACTGACAAATAATAAATTGTAGTAGGAGCGTTGATTTTACTCGTTTTGATAATCATCCAGATTTTAGTTCACTGAGACCGAGTAAGGAATCATGCCATTCGAGGCTACATGTTTCAATCATTGTCTCGAAATCTCTCCAACGTTATTTTCAATTTAAACTCTTGTAGAAATCAAGTAAATTCTAAGTTGTAAAGATTTTTGCATGGCCGACGTTGACGAAGGGATGTGCGGTGGTGATTGATCACGCAGTCAAAGAGCTAGTAGGGCCTTATTAGCAGTTTTGATTTTGAGGGCATTATCTTCATGGGTTGCGAAAAGATGAAGGAGAATTACATGGAAAGGGGGATTATTTATTTCTTCATTGATTAATAATATCCTAACAATAACAAGTCTTTGTCCCATGGGGTTTGCTGTAAGAATCTTGTTTTTACATTGTGTTCTATTAAGAATTAAATTCTTATTACATTTAATTAAATAATGTTATTTTTAAAATTTTCTTAACATGTCTTTTTTATGTTTATAACAATTTTTCTTTGTATAGGTTGGATTTAATATATCTACTCCTTTTTTTTTCTTTAATAAGTATGTACTCCACTTGTTTGATCATCGGAAGGTTGACATTTTATGAGAACTATACAAAGTGATTCCTAATCACATCCATAAATAGGGCGGAAGTTCAACGTTGATCGAATGGAAGTTCGATAGCGATAAAGCATAAGTCAAGTGGAGGTCGGACGGAAGTCTGGTGATGGTTTGGGGAAAGTTAGGTGGATGTTCATTTATTGGGCTGAGATTTGATGATGGTGGGGGGTCGTGTTGTGATCCGGTGACAGATGGTTTGACCATGGTCGGGCGGGAGTCTTATGGTGGTCGATAGTCGGGTTGTTGTCCGGCGGCGGTTGATAGTCAGGGGGTGATTTGATGAAGGTTGGATAGATGGTTTGACCATGGTTTGGGGGAGGCTAATGGTTGTCGATGGTCGGGTTGTTGTCCGGCGGCGGTTGATAGTCAGGTGGTGATTTGATGAAGGTTGGATAGAAGCATAAATCGACATGGTAGACAAAAACCCTCTCTCAAAACACCATTCGCTCGATACATTTTTGTTTCTTTTGGACACTTTTTTATGTTGCTTTCTAAATAACTTTCTTATACAAACCCATCGGGCATAGCTGTGTTGGTGGTTGAGCACAGTTGAGTACATCAAACTCAAATTTTATTCCTCTTTCAAGCGGCGTGACTTAAGTGGGGAGAAAATAAGTATGTGATTTGGAACCCGTGGAGTTGGTTGTTGTTATGCTCGCAAGCGCCTCCTCTAAGGGGTGGTAGCAGATAGTTACCCCGTAAAAAAAAATTCTAATTAAAAAAATTTAATAAACATTATTTTGAAAAACAGTAAAAAGGTTATCTCAAATTAAACCTCTGACTTTTTTTAAAATAAAATTTTTATTCTTTTCTAGAAAGGCTTATCACTCATTTCTCCATCTCTTCCTAAGAAATGACACTTCATTACCCACGGACTTCGAAGAAGTTGTATTCATTCTATTAGAAATATTAGCATTGTAGTAATTGTTGATTGAATTTAATAAAACGTTCAAATGTGTCTAATAAAATAAATTAACGAATGAAAGCCCAAGAACAAAAAAAATATCTTTATTAATAAGAATATATAATAATAATAGTACTGATTATAAACTTATGATAAAAATACTATTCACATATTCTGATAGGACTGGTGGGTGCTAGAAAATTTTTATTGATATAGATTGAATTTTATCTTTTAGCATTGCATAAAAATCTAACATAAACAGAGAAAAATGATAGGATCAAAGTATTTTTTATATGGAAAATTCAGGAAAAACAAAATTACGGGGCTTGAGCTAGTTGCATAATTCACTATATAATAATTTATACAGAATTTATCCTTTCTTCATTGTTGAAGAAAAGGAAAAAAAATAAAAATCACTAATAATTGGATATAATTTTAACAATATTCTAAATTATTTGAAAAATATATTACAATAAAAAATTTAAAATAATTATAATCGCCCGTTTAACGGGCAACTTGCTTTCTACGTTAGCGGTTAGTCTCTCCTTAAATGGGCAACTATACATATTTTAATTTTTTAAAAATTTCTTCTATATACATCAGAATTTTTTTATCTTCATCTAATAATTTTTCCAAATTAGGACCCTGATTTTGGAGAAATTAATTTGGAGAAATTGGTGCATGCATACTTCCTCCCTATAAAGAATAAATTTAAAAGAGAATAATTATACTCTTTAAATTTGTATTATTACATTTTTCTATAATATTTATAGACACAAAATAGTGAAGAAAATAGAAAATGAGTTAACTCTAGTAATGAATGCTAATTTAATGTATATAACAAAAAGAAATTAAAAGGAAAGTGACTTATATCCACGTTGAATGAAAATTTAATATATAGATTAAATGAAATAAAATAAAATAGCAAGTGAATTAAAGTCCGTAATAATGTAAATTTAATATATATAGATAAAAAAAGTAATAAATAAATTGATTTATTTTGTTTCTCTGTACCTACATCTCCATTTCTTTGAAATAAATAGCACACGCGTTGAAGAGTTAGTACCCATCCCATTTCACCTGCATATTTCTTAGAACCGAAGCCATCCTCTTGCTATTCCCGGAAGACCTTAAAAAATTCTTTTATTCTAGCTCCTTGAGTCCCACAACTCCGATGCAATTTTGAGCTAGATTTTCCATCCTCACCCTCGTCATCTCAGCAACTACACGTACAACTACGGTGTCCATTATAGCGTCAATTTGCATGAGTTGTAAGTTAATTTGAGATTTTTTTTTTATGACATGTAGACTAAATATCTTTCACGCACTTGCAAGCAAAAATAAATCAATAACAAAAAAGCAAAATTGTAAACAATAATCAAGCCAACAAAATAAGTCCAATTTCACTCCTATTTTTCTTAGCACACGAACATACAATTTTTTTCTTAAGAAAATATATAGCCAAAAGCCTAGAACAGATTGCCAAACAGACATCATATTTTTCTTAGAACACGAAGTAGATCATGATTTTGTAAGCTTTATTCTATAGCTAGCTAGTGCCAATACCTGGATCAAGATTACGGTCCTATATAGAACCGGCACAGCGGACAAAAGCCGCTCTCTTGAAACCATCGCCTGATGCACCCATGGTGAAATTTATGCTTACACGGCATGCTAATCACTTCGTTCCCTCCTTCCACCATATCTTCCAAGCAAACAGCACACACTCCCACAGTAGTTGATGAAGTACTAACAGTCTCCTCTCCTCCCATGTAAAGGTTTCTCTTTACCGAAGCCATCCTCATCTCGCCAAGAATGCTCGCCACCTCTTCTTCTCGCTCGATCACATAGACCTTGACAATCACTTGCACAATAAGCCCCTTGAGCCCTTCAACTCTACTGCAACTGCGCACTTCACATTCAATGGTGTGGGAGATACACAACTTTGTCATCTCGGCTTCTTCGTTTTCCATTAAAAAGTTCATTGGGAGGGGCTCCGTATTCTGCATGAAAGATGGAAGGTTTGATTGGATGCAGTTGATGAAACTGTGCCGCGACGGGACCATTGTGTTTGTTATCTCTCTGTTATTAACGTCGATCACACAGCGGAGTTTGAGGAGGAGGTGGGGTTCACTTGCCAGTCCTCCAGAAGGAACTTCTCCTTCCTCTTGCTGCCACTCATTGTCAAAGACTCTTTTGCATTTGGCATGGATGGAGTGGGTCGTCCAGGAAGCGAAAGCCATGGTTGGGGCAAATTTTAAAAACGGACTATTTATTCTCCAATCAGTGCCCACCATGGGCGGATTTAGGGAAGGCCCTAGGGGGGCACGTGCCCCCCATAATTTTTTTTTTTTGCTTTATAGGGAGCTCATTAGCTGTTATAGTTTTTTGCCATCTCTATTACGGGTATTACCTATCTTCTCTCTTTTCTCTCTCTTTTTGCCATTTTTTTTATAGATAGCAATCTCCTCCACTAGTCTCTCTCTCTCTTTGCCATTTTATTTTTATAGATGGCATCCTCCTCCACTAATCTCTCTCTACATGAGGGGTGAGATAATTTCTCTCTCTTCATCTTCACATCAATAGTTTTTTTTTTAATTAAAAATTTCATCAAATTTTTTTCTTAAAACTAATATTCTAATTTATAGAAAATTTATGTAATTAAAGCTAACAAATTACATTAAAGGAATATTATAATATTTAAATTTAAATCAAGTAGTTTAAAATATGCTTATTATATAAATTTTTATATATTTTTGATATACTTTTATAATAATAAGATATAATTTTTTTATATATTTATTGCTCGTAAAATATTTTTTTAGTTATATTTTTATTTAAATTAGATATGAAAATATATGATAGAAAAGTGGTTGAAATAGATTAGTACGATAATATATAAATTAAATAAATTTGTGTTAAAATTAATTTAGATGATCATGACAATAATTTTTTTTCATTATCATAGAATTTATCTTCTTATAATTTAAAAAAATTTAAAATCATAATGACAATTTCATGCTAAAATGAAAAAATTTGAGAGTATTTTTAAAGTCAAATTTTTTTGCCCCCATAAAAATTTTTGACTTCGCCACTTGTGCCCACTCAGCATTTAAAAAAAATATTAAAAAAATTGTAATAAGCAACCCACGGCCAACTATCTATAGTACATTATTATTGTTGAACATTTTTTAAAAAATGTAAAAAAAATAATCTGACCCTCATGTAGAGAGACAGAGAGAAAGAGAGACTATGGAGGAGGTTGCCATCTATAAATAAAATGACAAAGAGAGAGAAAATAGAGAAGATAGACACTAGTGATGACAAAAAACTATGACAGCTAATGAGCTCCCTGTGAAGAAAAAAAAAATAGGGGGCCACGTACCCCCTAGGCCCCTTCCTAAATCCGCCCATGAGTCTGATTGGAGAATAAATAGTCCATTAAAGAAACGGCTATACTTACTTTAAATTTTATTTAAAATTACTTAATTGCATAAATTATTTATTAACGATGCTCGTTTTTAAAATTTGCCTCAATCAATATAAAACTAAAATTCTGAGAGCTTCGTTGACAACTATGGCTTTCGCTTCCTGGACGACTCACTCAATCCATGTCAAATGCAAAAGAGTCTTTGGCAATGACTGGCTGCAAACGGAAGGAGAAGTTCCTTCTGGAGGACTGGCAAGTGAACCCCACCTCCTCCTCAGACTCGGCTGTGTGATCGACGTTAACAACAGAGAGATAAGAAACACAACGGTCACGTCGCGGCACAGTTTCATCAACTGCATCCAATCAAACCTCCAATCTTTCATGCAGACCGAGAGGAAGAAGTGGCGAGCATTCTTCGCGATCGAGATGAGGATGGCTTCGGTGAAGAGAAATCTTTACATAGGAGGAGGGGAGAGTGGTACTTGATCAACGTCTGTACGTGGTGGACGAGGAAGTGCGTGCTCTTTGCTTGCAAGAGATGGTGGAAGGAGGGAGGGAAGTGGTTCGCACGTCGTGCATGCAAGCATCAATTTCATGTTGGATGCATCAGGCGATGGTTTCAGAAGAACGGTTTCTGTCCGCTACACCGATCCTATATAGCACCATAATTTTGGTTAGGGCTGTAAACGAATTGAGAGTTCATCAAACTACACCGATCCTATAGAGCATGTTAATATATAAATGTCTATCTTTCAAACTATATTGAATAGTCTCGAATATGACAGTTTGTAGTTAGGAGTGTCAAAACAGGATTATGTGTTATATTTGAGTACGATTTGAAATTGATACGACTTGAATCCAGTTGATCCGAATCTAATTAACCTGAATTCAACTCATTAACCCGTTTTGCGAACCACTTTCTTCCCTCCTTCCACCATCTCTTCCAAGCAAACAACACACTGTTTCCTCACAAGAGGATGGACATATGGGAGATGAAGTGGGTATTTTTCACAAGAGGATAGCTTTGGCTCACAGAAATGTTTGTAGGTGAAATGGGTTGGGTACTAGCTCTTCATCGTATGTGTGCTATTTAATTATTTATTTCAAAGAAATGGTGAAGTTGGTATAGGAGAAATGAAATAAATTAATTTATTCATTACTTTTTTTTTTAATCTATATATTAAATATTCATTATTACCGACTTTAATTCAATTGCTATTTTATTTCATTTCATTTAGTCTATATATTAAATTGGCATTCATTAAGTATAAGTCACTTTCTTTTTAATTTTCTTTCATTCAGTATATATATTAAATTAGTATTCATTACGAGAGTTAACTCATATTCTTTTTTCTTCACTATATGGTGTATATTAATATGTATATAAAAAAAAAAGTAGTCGAGTCAAATAAAATTGCTAATTAATTTCTTCATCTAAAAAGACATCATAGGTTATAAAAATTAAACCTAGAAGCAGCGATACAAACGAACTTGTAGTACACAGATTGGAAGAACTAGTGCCAATACGTAGATCATTATTTATTAAGCTTAATGCGATAGCTAGCCAGTACCAGGATCAAGATTGTGGTCCTATATAGAAGTGGCATAGCGGACAAAAGCCGCTATACTCAAACCATCGCTTGATGCGTCCAACATGAAATTTATGTCTAGATGATTTAGAAATTTTTTAGGGAACTCCACACACACCAAATAGTGGTAAAACTTTGGGACATTGAACTTAGTGACAACATATATACACCTTATGTTCAAATTTCACTGGAATGGTAGCCAATTAGGTCAGAAAATTAATTAAATTAAAAATATGCCCCATAAAGGGGCGTGAAATTTCAAAAAGTTATAATAAATTCAAATTAAATAAAAACATTACAAATAATACCTCAAATTGCTCATAATTAAACCCCATACATAGAAAATTAAAATCCCTATAATTGGACTTTAAATTTAAGCTTAATTTAATATTTAAGAAAAATTAATAATTAATTAAATTAAATAATTAAAAATTATAAAAGATTTCAAATAAATTTCAAACATTTGAAAGCACTCCTATAGGTCAGCTCTGACCTTAGGGAGTGATTTCAAGGAGTTTAAAATGAGTTTGGTGCAAAATCAACAAAATTAACCTCCTTATTTAAATCCATTGAATAATTAAATCAAAAATATCAAAACTTCACAAAGTCATAACTAATTTTGGAAAATTTCAAATTAAGAAAATTCAGAGGCATTGGACTCTTTTAAGTGTCTAATATTGATTAGAAATATCAAACTTCTAGAATTTACTCAAAATAAAAAGCAGCCAACTCTTTGGTCAACTCAAGTTTAAAACATATTAAAAGTTTGAAAAATCATAATGTAATCTAAAAAAATCTAAATCCAGAAAATTTAGTGTCATTTTACTCATCTTAGAGTCTATTATTTATGAAAAAGATTAAAATCAAGAACTTGATCAAAATTAAAAAGTCAAAATTTGACCCTTTTAGTACTTAATGAATTAAAATAATTCATAAAAATTAAAAATTCAACAATAATCAATGGTCGGTTTATGTTGAGTGACTTGAAGGTCCTCTAGTAAGAGATGGAGACAAATGATGTTGGATGTGGCAGAGGAGAGTGCATGATATTTGGCTTCGATGGAGGATTTGACTACGGTAGGCTGCTTTTTAACGCACCACAAAATGAGATTGGAGTCAATGTAGGAACAGAAGCCCGTTATTGATTTTCTATCTAGCGGATTGGATGCCCAGTCTACATCCACATTGGTGGACAGATTAAGGTCAATGAGTACTAGTTGCAAACCTTATGTTAGTGTTCCTTGAATATATATCTGAGGGGACATTTGAGAACATGGTAGTCACTGTTGGTCGGACGGTGCATATATTGTCTGATGCAATTGACGGCGAATATAATGTTCAGTCATGTTATGGTGAGGTAGTTGAGTGAGCCAGCTAGACGACGATATTTCGTTCGGACCAGGAGCAGAGTCGAATGAGAGTCCGACCCAGCCGAAGACTTCGTCTGCTGCTCCGACTCCTGACCTCCAGGACTCGTAATAGAGAGCTGGGTTTTGCTCTCCTATATCCGCGACGTAGAACGAGGGGTGCGGCGTAGGATCGTAGAAGCAAAATGAACGACAACAAGAAGCAAGGAGATCTTGATATGTCCGGTCTGGGCTCTCCTCTATCCTACAATACATCTGTTCTAAGCGCGGAGGATAGGGCAGGCATGGTAAACACTCTCAGGAACAAGCTGCAGATCCTGGCGGGGCAGCACACAGACGTGATGGACTCCTAAGGTCAAAAAGCGGGTGGAGGTTCTCAAGGAAATCCAGGTTCCTTACCTTCTTTACTGATTGGTGATTCATTTGCATATTTTTTTACCCATTTTTTTATGAGGGTATTGTTGTATAATTTTGTTTGTTTGCTACTTCTGAGTTTAACTGTTTATTATTTGCGGTTATGAAATTTCGGTTTTTTTTCTTTTTTGGCCTTTGGAGTATCGGTGATATACAACAAAACTTCCTCATTTCAGCTATATTCCACATGATAATAAAAGGTTAGATGATTTATTAGATTGAATGTACTAACCAAATGTAACTGCAACAGAAAATATTTGGCAATCAATATTATGCAAGAATTTCTGAATAAGCCTTTAATTAGAGCAATAGCAAGAAAAATGAACAATGGACGATGAATCATTAAAAAGACAGCAGAAAATTAACCAAACAAAAAATAATAAGCATTACAAAGGAAGCAAGATAAAAGGAGTGCGCTTATCCATTAAAAAATTATAGGTCATACTACAAATTAGCGCAAGTGAATTGTTAATTTTCTACTTGAGAAAATTTTTCTA